GTATGACGCGGCCATGTTCAGACACGTTCCTGACCGCTCCGTAAAGACTGTGCTTTTTTCGTTATTTATTCATTTATTTTACTTTCACTCGCAAATATCTCTTCAGGTTTGGTGACCTACAACAGTAGAACACTACTGGATATAGGAAATCAGATTTCGGCGCTAATTTCGACTACTTCTAAGCCTGACCCGTCGTGGCCGTCTGAGATACTATGCTACTCGGACGACAACAACAATGGACGCGACGCTAACCCACGGCGAAGAACAAAGAAGCGCCGGGGAAAACGCGCCGGCGTCCATAACAGAATGAGAGAGCAAGCTCATTGCACCCCTCTGTCGAGTATCCTGCTGGCTAAGTACAGTCTCTGGAGAATAAGCTAGACGACCTCAGAGCCAGAGTCACTTTCCAGCGAGATATAAGGGACTGTAACCTTTTATGCTTTACTGACACTACCTCCAGCTGAACGTCAGTACGACTAAGGAGCTGGTGGTGGACTTCAGAAGGAGACAACATGACTATAGACCCCTCACCATCAATGATGCTCCAGTGGAGAGGGTGAGCAGTTTTAAATACCTGGGCATCCACATCTCGGAGGACCTGACATGGACTGAGCATATCTGTGCTCAGACAAAAAGGGCAAAGCAGCGCCTGTACCACCTGAGGCAATTGAGGAAGTTTGGGGTTTCCCCTGCTGTCCTTAAGGCTTTCTACTCGGGCGCTGTTGAGAGCGTCCTCACACAGAACATCTCATCCTGGTTTGGGAATAGCTGTGTACAGGACCGGAAAGCCCTCCAGAGAGTGATCCGGGCAGCTGAACGCTGCTGCAGGTTAGCTCTCCCCTCCATGCAGAACATTTACATCAGGAGATGTAAGACCAGGGCAGCTAAGATTATCAAGGACTTGTCTCACCCCAATTACAGACTGTTCAAACTCCTGCATTCAGGCAGAAGGTTCCGTGTCATTATGGCCAAGATGGAGAGACTCAGGAGGAGTTTCTATCCTCAGGCGATTTGACTCCTCAACCAAGAGATGCCACTCTCCTGGTCATAGTGTTATGGTTATTAGTTCAACCTGACACTGCTGTGCTGACACTGCACACTGCACTTTGAACTGACTATAAGCGTTTCTTGCACAGTATTTCATCCTGTAATTTGTATATACGCTCTTGTAAATTAATAGGTTATATTTTTTTCTTTCTTCTGGTTACACTTTCTAAATAAATTTACAATATATTTTACAATTTATTTTATAATCTCTGTTATTTGCACAAAGTATGAGCGGTTCAGGATACATTCCATCAACTTCCCTGTCTCCTCTATCAGTACCAATGCTGGAAAAGGGAATGGAGGGAACAGGGGTTCAAGATCTAATTTCTAATACTCAGACATCTCAGGTCCTTCACAGTACATTTTCCCCATTTACATTAGTCTACACTATATGGTCCTGCATCTGCTAAAACACTAATTTACATAGTATTTTTTTGTTCTCTGTCAATGCATCATATTTTACCTTTTATAAGTGAATGGAAGAGCAGAGCAAACGGGCACATTGCGATCCTTCCGCTTCTTCTTTTTGCATGCATTTTCGGATGGCGCTGGGGACAGTTCAGGCTGTTCTGTCAGTGGGGCATAAGGCAGCCCACAGTCCAGGACTACCCGCCTGAGCATAGCCTCGACCACCCCGCTCCTCAGCTGC